TCCAAAAGCAAAAAAAGCAAAAAAAAAACACCTGAATTTGGGTTTTGGCAGTAAAATGAAGAGGAAGGAATAAATGTGGAAGATGCTGAAAATGTAGAATAAAGAGAAATTAATCGTAATTGAAGAATAGTGGGACCATCACGCACAATAGAGAAGACAGAGGGTAGAGTAGGTATTAAAAAGATGAGCTCTGGCCATTTTGGCTCAGCAGTTAGAGCCTTAGCCGGCAGGCCAGGGAGTCCCAGGTTCAGTTCCTGATAAGGGCATGTACCTCGGTTGTAATTTGTCCCTGGCTCCGGTTGGGGTCATGTGGGTGGCAACCTAGTCTCACGTCATTTTTTCTCTCTCTCTCTCTTCCTCTGTCTTCCTCCTTCTTTCCCTCCTTCTCTATCTGAGGATAAATGCAAAAATGTCCTCAGAAGGATAAAAAAAATAAATAATAAAAGTCAAGATGATTCTATTCTATAGAGGGGACAGTCTGAGTTAGCTGGAGAAAATCCAGGGGGTGATGAGCAATTTTATTTTTGCCAATTTAAATATTTATTAAATTTATAATGTATCTTATAATTCTGTGGCCAAGAGGATATTAACCCAATAAGCTTCAGATCATATATAGCTTTCGAATGATCTATATGAGAGGTTCTAATTTATAACACCTATGACAAATTGTAGCTTCATATCTTTCTCTCTCTCTCAATCCCTCCTCCCCTTTTATTTTCACATCATTTCTCTTAGCTGAGTTTTGGCTGATAGGTTTGGACATTTTAAAATTATACTATGTTGCCCGGCTAGTGTGACTCAGTGGTTGAGCACACCCATGCACCAAGAGGTCCCCGCTTCAATTCCCAGTCAGGGCACAAGCCCAGGTTGTGGGCCAGATCCCCAGTGGGGGGCATGCAGGAGGCAGCCAATTGATGTTCTCTCTCATCGATGTTTTTTTCTATTTCTTTCTCTTCTCCCTTTCTTTCTCTCTAAAATCAATAGAGAAAAAATGTTTTTAATTACACTATGTGTATTGTTTTTTTTCCTTTATTTTATAAGCCTTCTAAAATTTGTTTTAGAAATAGGGAAGGAAGCAGGTAATCAAGAAAAAAGAGTTTCAAAATCCAAGACTGTCACAGTGTGAAAGGCTTCAAAGAAAGCTAAATGGTCAAGAACTTCAAAAAGCCCATGGGTTTGGCAGTTAGGAGACCATTGGTGACCATCATCAGTTGGGATCTTTTTGTTGTAAGAAAATTTAATTCAAATGGGCTTTAAAATAAAGGAACTCTGCAAGTGTAAATAAATTAAGTCTAGTGATAGCTTAGGCTTCAGGCAATTTAACTAGGCTTCCAGCTCCATTTCTCAATGTTTCTTTCGACTCTTTTCCCCCTGGCCCTCCCACCCCACCCTGTGTTTTGACTTCTTCACCAGACTAGCATCTGTCATGGTATGAAATTAGAAAAAGTGTTTCTGCACTCACTTTTCCTTCCTTGATCATTGAAATAAGTATGAGGTTTCACTCTGATCAAATCACCTTAACTGAAGTCACTATTCACTCCTGACCCAATTACTCTAGCACGGGTAATGCTGTGCTTAGACCCTTGGTATCTATTCCTGAACAGTCATAATGAAGAGAGAAATATGAATATTTTGAGAGTCTCACACTGATAATGACCCATTGCTGAAGCTGCAGTTGAGGTCAGTCCTACCCAGACTACCTGGCTGATACACAGTGCAGGAGAGAAGATGTGTTGCAACTAACAATGCCCACCCACTGCAATGATCCTCCGTAGCTCCCAAGAGGTGGTGAGAAAAACTATAGGTAAGATAGGACTAAGAAGTTAATGCTTGAAGAGGCAATGAGCAAGTAGGGGCAAAATGAATTTTCAACAACTTTGACTATAAAAGGCAAAGAACAAAATGTAACAGTAACCAGAATTAACAGGTTGTTTGTCTCAAATGCTCTCTTTTTAAGCTAGGTGCAGTGGAAATCATTGATTGCCTATCAAATCCTCCCTTATTTCCCAACACAACTTCAAATTTGACCAGTGTCCCTATCATCTTCAGGCAACCATGTACCCAAAGGAAGGAAGCTGAGCCTTAGCCCCAGCTTCAGATAATTCTATCTCCTTTGTCGGTGGTTGGCTCAGGAATGTGCCTGTGAAGCAATTCTGGCAGGTGAGAGATAAGGCTTGCTGTAGACACCTGGAAAAGTTGTTCCTTGGTCTCATGAGTTTCTGGATCTCTTTCACTAACTATCCCACACTACTGTCATGAAAGAAGCATGAGGGCCCCCTTGCAAACAAAGCATACAGAAACCACAAGGGAAATGCCCTTTCGTGAAATGCAGAGCAGATGAAAGGAAACAGTTAATTCAATGATATGACTTGACAAAATAGAGCTCGTATAGTCACTGGACTTCAAGTCATGTAAGCCAATAAAGATTCCTATTGCTAAAGCAGTTTGAGTCAACTTTTTATCAGTTACAGCCAAAACCATCATAACTGAATAGGAAACATATGGATTGCTTTTAAAATTTTTATTGATTTTAGAGAGAGGAAAGAGAAATATTGATTTGTTGTTACAATTATTTATGCATTCATTGGTTCTTTTTTTCTGAATTGATTTGAGAGAGAGAGGAAGGGAGAGGGAGAGCCAGAAACATCGATGAGAGAGAACATCAATTGACTGCCTCCTGCATGCCCCCCACTGGGAATTTGGCCCACAATCTAGGCATGTGCCCTGACTGGGAATTGAACTAGAGACCTCCTGGTGCATGAGTGGATGCTCAACCACTGAGCCACACCAGCCAGGCCCATTGGTTGATTCTTGTAATGCCCTGACAGGGGATCAAACCTGTAACCTTGGCATATTGGGCAGATGCTCTAACCAACTGAACTGTCTGGCCAAGGCTGGATTTTTTTTTCCCCTTAGGCAGAGGGGAAGGAACCAATGGAGAGGGAAAAACTGAAGATACCAGAAAAAAGAAGGAATTATTAATGAAGTTCCTGGGACCAGAATGGGAATAAGGAAAATCTAACTTCAGATGGTGGAGGAACATCATTATTCTGGGATATAAGGTAAGAAAAGGAAGGCATAAAGATAAAATGGCATTTTGGGGTGAAGCGGAAGGAAGTTTTGAGAGTACACATTGGATTTTGACCTAAACATATTAGAAAGCAAACTCATTCCAAGTGAATGAATGGCTCTAAGTGAAATTATAGATTTTTAATTAATTTTTTTTTCCTTACTCGAGGACATTTTTTGTTCAGATAGAGTGGGAGGCAGAGAGAAGAGAGAGAGAGAGAGAGAGAGAGAGAGAGAGAGAGAGAGAAACATTGACGTAAAAGGGACATATCGAGTGGCTGCCACCCACACGACCCAACCAGGGCCGGGGCAAACTGCAACCGAGGTACATGCCCTTAGCAGGAACCAAACCTGGGTGTCTCTGGACCACAGGTCGATGCTCTAACTGCTGAGCCTAACCGGCCAGGGCTGAAATTATAGATTTAAGGAGAATGTTCAAAGAGTTTGTAATAATGGCTCCATTCATTTCTTCCTTCACACATTCAGTATATATTTGAGGATACCAAGATGTACAAATATAATGTACAGAAGCTGTTTTAAACTAAATGTAAAACATAAAAACATGCTTTCCAGAAGCACGTAGTTCAGCTCAGTGGGTTTCAGAGTGTAGTCTCAATACAGCAGAAACAGCTAATGTGTATCAGTGCAAATTCTCAGGCCCAAACTGACACCAAATCAAAAACAGTCAGCAATCTGTTTTTAAACAAGCCCTCTAGATGATTCCAGTGCACACTAGAGTTTGAAAAACACTGATCAACAGTGACAATTAATAGAGTTATGAGTTCAGCCAGTGTGGTTCAGTGGTTGAGCATCAACCCATGCATGCACCAGGAGGTGGCCTGTTCAATTCCCGGTCAGGGCACATGCCCAGGTTGTGGGCCCAATCCCCAGTGGGGGGCATGCAGGAGGCAGCCAAATGATGTTCTCTCATCAATGATTCTCTCTCCCTCTCACTTCTCTCTCTAAAATCAATAAAGGAAAAAAAATTTTTTCTTTAAATACTTATGGACAAAAGGCAATGTGAGTACAGTGGATAGAGTGCTGGGTAAAGCCAAAGGCTTCCAGAAAAAGGTGTATTTAAGCTTAAATTTCGAGGAATGCATAGAAGTTTGCTCATGCAGATGCAAAGTACTACACGTTCCATATTCCATTTGATAATACCATTGTACCACTTTTCCTTTAAGTTTCTTTTTTTCTCTTAGTACTAATACAATTCCTATAGTTAGCCCTGAAATTCTAACCCCTTCTAACTGGTAATAGGAGAAATTTCAAGATAGTAATTAAATGCTCCTTTTCCCTGAAGCTTCTGAAAAACAAATATTCTGCATCATAAAAGTCCTTACAAATGTTATTTCTAACGAAGGGTTACTGGAAGATACCCAGACTTCAAAGACTGTTGCTAAAATATTTGTAATTCTAATTGGTTCTTATGTAACATGTAAATTGAAATGTTTTCTACAAGTCAGTTTTGAACACGTTTTCTCTCATAATCATGGAAGAAAAATGATCAAAATCTGGTTCAACTAAATTTTTTCTTTGAAGAGTGTGAGAATCTGTATCTAATTTAAATTAATACTAGGTAGACAAGACAGAGGCAAGAACAGCAAGGATACTACGCATTGGGGGAATCATTCTATATTTCTTTAGTAAAAATTTGGAGGAAGGCCAAAGAGGATGAATGGGTAGGAAGGTACATCATGTGACATGCAATGGAGTTAACACATCCCTTTGTGGTGATATGAAGCTATAATAGACATTTAACCTGAACAGAAAAGTAAATGATTAAATATTCATGTTAGGAAGTTCAGTATTTGGTAACCAGTACCTTGATCCAGTTACACATGATTTTCCCTTTAAAAAAAAGTCCAAACTGTGTAATTTGAAACTTTATTTTAAAAATATTCTGAAATTTTAATTTTTAAAGACTCTTAACCACCACCTACTTTTCTTCAGTAAATACACTTTTCGTCCTAAAATTATAGAACCTAGTGCAATAGAAAACAAGAAACAATTCCACTAAGGCAATCAAATTACTTCTGTAAATGATCATGTTACAGACTGGAATCACCCAAAGAAAAATTTCTTCTAGTTCTCTTTAAGGTTTATTTTTTCAGAAAACCAAAGTAATTGATTCAATAACACTAACCATTCTGGCATGCAGCAAATTATTTACTCTCTAATGTTTAATCTTATCATAGATGTATACAGTTTATTTTCACTCCTATAGTTTCCACAAGAAGCTTATAGTGATAGGAAAGGTCAGTATTTTGTTACAGGTACTTCAAATAGCACTACAGTACATCTTTGACAAAATTTTTACAATATTCCAACTTTCAATATGAAACAGTTTAAAAAGGCATGGGCCAAAAGAAGTATAGTATCACTGAGGCAAATAAAGTCTAATAATCCTACAAGCACAACACGGTTAAGAACTTTCCCTGTTTGGACTGGGAAAGGAGTACATGAGACATTTACTTCAAATAAAATTGTATCAGTAGCTTAGGAAAATCCCCTAATACATAATTTCAGACATATTGGGGGGGGGCACCCTTGAACCTTTATTCTTAGAAAATATGAACTTGTTATTACTTGCTTTAATGTAATAGATGTGTTCTTGAGAAGTTTGCCTAAAGCAAATTCTATAAGCCATCTTGCTTGCACTGTGGGAACTTATGTCAAGGAAACCTAAGAGAATTTATTCTTTAAAACATAATTCTCCTACACATTTGTACATCACTGGGGATTTTATCTGTACTGTTGTTTCATCTCGGTAAATGAAACCCAGGTTTCTCAAAATTCATCTGTAAAACACGTAAGCAGATCAACCCCTCCCTTTTCACACAGTTCATTGAGTAGATGCAAAACTTACAATTGTTCATCTATCCATTCTCAGTAGAGGGTTTGTCACTGAATAAGTGAGCTACAATACCCATCTGGACTTTTCACCTTAAATAGGTAATGGTTTTTTTGTTTGTTTTTTGCTAGAAAATGCTATTCTTAAAAATGTTATTAAAAATGGCAACTATGAAGGGCAATTGTGATTAGAAGTCTTTATAATTTAAGATGAAATATTACCCAAATCATGACAGTATTGTTTAGAACGACACCTTCAATTCTATAGGCATCTTATTCCTATACAGGAATAATTGCTTTACTAATTAAAATAACAATTTACTAAAGATCACAATAACATTCTTTCACATTAGAATATTGTAAAAAAAAAAAAATAGAGGAATAAAAACTATAACCAGACCTAGTCATTGCATTTTGATCAGACTTAACAGGATATTTAGTTAAGTCATAGGACCACTCAGTTAAAGAAGCATTAAATGAAAGAAATAAGAAGAAAAAAAATAGAGGCATTAAAAGGAAGTTTTCCTGAAGTAAATGTAAAAATTAAATAGATGAATTACATTTATTGCTCTGAAAAGATAACACTGCATACATATCATCAAAAAGATTATGGCACTTGGACAATATTCCTGATAAACAAATATGTAAATGTGTGAAGTGTATCCTAGCCTCCCTGCTACTTTTACATTACTTTGGGAAAGACAACAGCAGGTTGGGCAGAAAGTGAAGGTAATCACCTGTGAAAAAGGAGGTGAAGCTACCACAGAATCCTAAGAATAAGTAGCAGAAAATACCAGTGAAAATAATGCTGATTTTCTCATCCATTTTCACTTTTATTGTCTTTATGTTTTTTAAACTTATAGGAAAAAACTTTGCAATGGAATTTGAGCCATAGGTGAACAAAATTGTACTTTCACATGAAATGTAAAATAAATGAAACATCATGGAGCTATTTGCTGCAGCCAAAATCCACTTTTTGCCTCTCAGTTTTTGACTATTTCTAAAAGATGACATGTCTTAAGGAATAATTCCTTTAAAAAATTAATGTTTGTACCGCATCATGGATTTACAACAAATGGATTCCAATAAAGCCAAAGTATATATTACAATAAAATAGATGCTTACTTTATAGCATCAAATCATGTTCTTCCCTCTAAAAATACGGCTGTTCCTAAAACATTGTCTTAATTTTCTATGTATCCTATCTTACTGTGCAGGACAAGCAACTGCCTATAAAAATCATTCAACCTAATGCAGGCCTTTTGATGAAAACCCATTTTAAATGCACAGGCTTTAAGAACAAGATCACCAGAGAGACCACAAATGTTAGTGGCTCTGTCAGTTACATAACCGAATTTAAGACAACCACTTTTTCTTGTGGTCGTTCCTTAAAGTGAGTAAGTTGATGTCTCTTCCAGTGAGGGGCCTGTCTGAATGTTTTGCCACAAACTGAGCACTCGAATGGCTTCTGCCCTGCATGAATTAGATAGTGTCTCTCCAGTTTAGATGGGGATCTAAAACTTTTAGAACAAACACTGCATTGGTAAAGAAGGCCATCATTCTTCTCAGTATGTCCTGAATAACTACAACAATGACTATGATGGCTCTGTTCTGATTCCAGGAGTGCATTAGCGAGAGAGGGCTGCCTGCTCCTATCGTGGGTGCCGACAATGAAATCCTCCGATTCGGCCTTAACTTTTATTTCTGATATTTGATCTGAATCTGGGACCTCACATTTTTGAAAACCAAGAGTCTGGCATTGTTGGGAAGTCTTATAGTTAACATTATCGCCTGGATGAATGAAAAGTTTGCTCAAATTGTCAAATTCTACTTGGCAGAGAGATCTTCTATAAGGCATCTTTTCCATATGAGTTAATTTATGTCTTTTTAAGTGAGCTGACTGTCTAAAAGATTTCCCACAAACATTACAGCCAAAAGGCCTCTGTCCAGTATGAATTAAATAGTGTCTTTGTAGTTTAGATATAGAAGGAAATACTTTCTCGCATTTGTCACAAGGACACATCTTATGTCCAACATGCATGTTTTCCGTTGGAACTGAAAAACCACACTGAAGCACTTCACAGTTATCAAAGAATTCCTCACCTGATGAACCACAGATAGATATGTCTTTATTATTCATTGAATTATCCACAGTTAACATGTTTTCTGTCGTAAGGATGCCTTTCAAGTTTTTCCCCATATTCTGGCTCTGGAAGTGCTTTTGCCAAGAAGACGGCAGAGTCAATGTTCTTTTCGTTTTATTGCCAACTGTCTTATATGTTCCATGTTTGCCAAGAGAACCCATAAATGTTCTCTTGGTTTGTTCAGGGCTCTGCTCACCAGGAATAAGATCACAATTTTTTAAGAAACCGTTTTTAAATACTTTTTTCTCAGATTTAAAATTATCTAATTTCTTACTCCCGACACGTTTAAGTTTGGCCAAGATTTTTTTAACAATAGTTTTATAGTTGAGGCTTCTTTTGAAACGGCTTGGAATTTTGACACTTCTGGCAGGAAAACACTTGTGTCCATTGAGAATCTGTTCGGATTCAAAACACTCTTCACACTCTGGACACTGAAAAGGAACAATATAAATAGAGTGGACATCAAGTTGATTATTCTCATCAAATTCACCTATATCACCATTTTCAAAACCATCCTGCTTTGCATTTAATTTATTAGGCAAGGGGCACGACTCCGGACTCTTCACCTTTAATGAAAGAGTCTGAAAAGTCTTATTCCTGGTATGGATTTGTTTATGCTTCAGAAGTTTGCTTTGAATCTTAAATCCTTTTTGACAGAAACAACATTGAAAAGGTCTTTCTTCTGAATGTGTGAGTTGGTGGATTTTTAAATGAGTTGACTGACGGAAAGATTTACTGCACAGGACACATTTAAAAGGCCTCTGACCAGTATGAATAAGTGCATGCCTATTGAGTTTTGATTGTGACGGAAACATCTTGCCACAGATTGTACATGCGTGAATATTCTTTTTCTTTGTAGGGCTGTAGGTAGGATCAGACTTAGTACACGGGTGTAATGCCCGTCTCTCCTCTGCAGTAAAAGTATGATACATTCCATAGACTGGCTTTTCTTGCTTGGCCTCCAACAGTCTTCTGACCTGTTTAACATCATTCTGGTAGGTTTCATTGTGAAGGTGTTGGTGCTTCACAAACGTCTTCAGATTTTTAAAGTGGCGTTGACAAATCGTACATTTGAAAGGCAGATTATGAGTTAGTTGATGTCTCTCCAGATGAACTAGTTGTCTAAAGGTTTTATGACACACATCACATTCAAATGGCTTCTGACCAGTATGAATGAGGTAATGCCTAGCTAATTTTGATGGCGTTTCAAAGTGCTTGAGGCAAATATTGCAAATATATGGCCTGTTTCTGGGTAGTTTGTTGGCTACTACACACTGTTCAATCTTTAGCATTTTTAAATTGTTTTCAGCCATCATATCCTTCAGTGATATATTTTGATGAGTTCCATAGTATTCGTAATCTCCACAGATGTCTAAAAATAAAAAATAAAAATGTATTAATTTAAAAATTATTTACTCATATGAGAAGAAATAATTGTCCTTTGGCTAAAAATATTAAGGATAAGAGGGAGATCTGGAGTTTTCTTGTGTTTAAAAGTTAACGACCATTTTAGATGAATACTTTAGAATCATAAAACTAATTTCACACATAAAGAGAAATGATGAGTCTTTAAAAGAAATATTCACATGAACACACAGAAAGAGAAACATAAAAACAATCCCATTTACCACTGTAACAAAAAAATTAAGATGCCTAAGAATAAATTTATCTAAAGTAAAGGACCTGTTTGCAGAAAACTACAGGGCATTGAAAAAAGAAATAGAGGAAAATATTAAAATGTGGAATCATATACCTTGTTCACTGACTGGAAGAATTAACATTATTAAAATGTCCATACTACCCAAAGCAATCTATAGATTCAATGCAATCCCCATTAAAATACCGACATATTTCACCTAACTAGAAAAAATACTCCAAAAGTTTATATGGAACCAAAAAAGATCCTGAATAGTTACAGCAATCTTAAAAAAAAAGGAACAAAGTAGGAGGGATCACAATACCAGAGAGCAGGTTATACTACAAAGCCACTGTAATAAAAAGTCTGGTACTGGCACAAGAACAGGCATATAAATCAATGGGACAGAGCAGTGAACCCAGAAATTGACCCAAGACATTATCCTCAATTAATATTTCACAAAGGTGGCAAGAGCATACAATGGAGAAAAAACAGTCTCTTTAATAAATGGTGTTGGGAAAATTGAACAGCTACATGCAAAAAAAATGAAACTAGACCACCAACTTACACCATACACAAGAATAAACTCAAAATGGATAAAAGACTTAAAGGTGACTCATGAATCCATAAAAATCCTAGAAGACAATGTAGGCAGCAAAATCTCAGACAACACACGCAGCAGAATATTTCACTGATACAACGCCTAGGGCAAGAGAAGCAAAGGAAAAAATTAATAAATGGGTCTATCTCAGACTTAAAAGTTTCTGCACAGCAAAAGAACAAGCATCAAAATAGAAAGGGAACCCACTATATGGGAGAGCATAATTGCCAACAATACATCAGATAAGGGGTTAACTTCCAAAATATATAGAGTACTCATATAATTCAACAGAAGACAAAGAATCCAATTAAAAAATGGGCAGAAGACCTAAAGAGACACCCCTCCAAACAGTACATACAAATGGTTAAGAGACCTATGAAAAAATGCTCAATGTCACTAATCATGAGAGAGATGCAAATTAAAATGACTATGAGGTATCACCTCACACCTGCCAGACTAGCTGCCATCAACAAAACATCAAACAAGTGCTGGAGAGGGTGTGGAGAAAAGGGAACTCTTAGTACACTGCTGGTGGGAATGCAGACTGGTGCAGCCACTATGGAAAACAATACGTGTTTCCTCAAAAAATTAAAAATTGAACTGCCATTTGACCCAGCAATCCCACTTCTAGGAATATATCCTAAGAAGACTGAAACACCAGTCACAAAGAATATATGCACCCCTATGTTCACAGCAGCACTATTTACAATTGCTAAGATCTGGAAACAGCCCCAGTGTCTATCAATAGGTGAGTGGATAAAAAAGTTGTGGTACATAGACACAATGGAATACTATGCAGCTGTAAGAAAGATCTCTTATCCTTTGAGACAACATGGAGGGAACTGCAGAGTTTTATGCTAAGCGAAATAAGCCATTCAGAGAAAGACATATATCACATGATCTCACTTATTTGTGGAATATAATGAACAAAATAAGCTGATGAACAGAATAGACCCAGAGACACAGAAAAAGGAATCATTCCTTCTGGGGGGTGAGGGGAGAGATAAACCAGAAAACGTATATGCATGTATGTATAACCAACAGATATATACAACAATACTGTGGGGGGGAGGGGGAGAGAGGGGAGAAGGGTGTCAATGGGAGAATATAAGAAACATCTGTAACAAAAATACATTAATTAAAAAAATAAATAAAAATATTTAAAAACCTATATAATTTTAAGCTATATTTCTAATTAAGATGATACATTAAAATGAGACTGACTTGAATTTTTTTAACATTAACTAGACCACTTAATTCCAATGTTCCTAGTTCACTATTAAATAGATTTGTCAACATTTAGTTGATTTGCCACTTTTTAAAATTTGGGCTAGAGCCCTGGCAGGTTTGGCTCAGTGATTAGTGTTGGCCTGCGGTCCAGAGAGACCCGGGTTCAGTTCTCGCTGAGGGCATGTACCTCGGTTGCAGTTTGTCCCCAGCCCTGGTTGGGTCATGCGGGTGGCAACCACTTGATGTGTCCCTTTCACGTCGATGTTTCTCTCGCTCTTCCTCTCTCTACCTCCCACTCTATCTGAACAAAAACCAAAAAAAGTCCTCAGGTGAAGTTAAAAAAATAAATAAATAAATAAATTTGGGGTAGAGAAGTAAACAGTGTACGAATTAAAATATAATACTAAAAATTAGATTATAGCATATTATGGTATGGACATGATTTGAGAATGGAATATTTCATTTTTCGAAGTTAGATTTCTTAGCCACATCATTAATACCTATCTACTCTCAATTGCTTCTTCTTTGGATCAAAAGAGACATGACAAGTGAAAGAAAATATCCCAGGAAACCTGGGTTCTAGTTCTAGATTTGCTACTGTATGATCTTGGTGGCAGGAAGAAGGAAATACAGATTCCTTATCTCTGAAACAGAGAAACCGCCTCCTGATGCACTGTAATGTGATTAGAAAACTGAAGTGATATAAGTGTTAAGGTATCAACACTAATCAAATTTTAAAACTTTGTCCTCATCTACATAATACCATTTCTAGGGTTTCTAACTAGGATAAATACACTAATTAAATTTACAGCTCTTTTTATTTCTCCTTTCCACTTTGTTGTAGAATCTCTAAAAAAACAAGTACGGAGGCAACAAAGTCCATCAACTGGCGACAAACACACTTATCTATGGTTAAGTAACTGAAAGTTGAGTGTGGTTCACTTTTAGGCATTATGATAAAAGGATCATTTTGTTTTCAGAGTTAATATAAAGGTAAAACCTTTTCTTCCAATATACCTCTGTAGAACACATAAAAAAGCACTTCCACAACCATCTTACACCCTGTCTTCTCTTCTTTTATGAGAAGTCAATTTTCTTCTTTTTTTCTACTACTGCATTCTCCTTAAATAAGGCAGTCAGAGAGATGACAAGTTTATCAGAAACTCAGGGTTCTTCTGTCAGTTATTTATCATTTTTTTCTTTTAATCCTCACCCAAGGACATTTTTCCATTCATCTTCAGACAGATTAGGAGGACGGGAGGGAGACAGAGAGAGAAGCATTGATGTGAGAGAGACACATCGACTGGTTGCCTCCCATGCGACCCCAACCAGGGCCGGGGACAAACCGCAACCGAGGTATGTACCCTTGGCTGGAATCAAACCTCGGTCTCACTGGTCCGCAGGCCGACACTACAACACCTGAGCCTAACAGGCCAGGCCTCTTTTGTCAGTTATTTAGCCAACATCCACCATATATGCTATATGCTATTTACTGTCCTCTCTGTGAAGGCTCCTTAAACACAAAATCACAAACATATCCACTGTGTGGTTCTCTTCAACAATCTGAATCAGAAACAAAAAAAATCATAATTCATTTGCTGAGCAAATATATTCTATTAGTTGCTTTATTTTAGTGTTTTTCAAACTGCATGTCACTACCCATTGATGAGTTGTAAAATCAATTGAATGGGTCATGATCAACATTTTTGTTTAATAAAACAGAGTAGAAAATACCAGATTGTATAAAAATCATTTTCTTTTTTAAATCCTCACCTGAGGATATTTTTCTACTTATCTTCAGATAGAGTGGGAGGAAGAGAGAAAGCAGGAGGGAGAAAGGGAGGGAAGAACAAAGAGAGAGTGAGAGAGAGCGCAAAACATCGATGTGAGAGAGATACATTGAGTGGTTGTCCTCCTCATGGCCCGGATCAGAACTGGGCACTAAACTCCAACTGAGGTACATGCCCTTGACTGAAATCGAACCCATGACTCTTTGGTCCGAGGGCCGATGCTTTAACCGCTGAGTCAAACCAGCCAGGGCTATAACAGTTATTTTCAACCAGCGTGCTGCAAGAATTTTAAAAACATGCAACAGCTGACTATTTAGTCAGCAGCACTGACCTCTTTTCCCTTAGAGTGTCAAATAAAAAAATGACAACAGCCAACACAATAGCCATTCAGTGACCGAATCAAAATTATACCTATTTTTTTTTTGTTAGATTGGTAAAAAATATATTTTTTTGGTGTGTGGCAGAAATTAGTAATTAGTTCATGTGTGCCATGAGATGAAAAGGTTGAAAATTGCTGGCATAACATACAGCAAAGATAAATACTGTTTTGTGAAATTTCTGTAGGAAGAGGTAAAAAAAGGTTTGTAAAAGCTGTTCCTGGTGTACTTCTTCACACAACACTAGAAAGAGGAACCCAAAACAAATCAATTACTTTATTCAAAGTGTCTAAGTAATCTATTTAAGTAAGATCAAGGCCCACAGGATAAGACAGGATTACGAAGGAAAACAGTGTCTTGTTTTGTTCAACTGGCCCATATAATCCCAAAATATTTATTAAAAAAATTTAATTAGAGGTCAAATGAAATATGCCACAGAGATTTATGCAAAATAAAATAATCTGACTGCAAGTCACTGTATTACTTTATAAATACCCAGACATCCATGTAAGTAACAATCACCTGTTGGTGCTGTTAATATGCATTTTCATGTCACTGTTAGAGACACTGCAGATGAACAACCTCCAAATCTCTAAACAGGCTAACACAGTAGCAGTTATGAGGATTAAAATTAAGTCATGAATCCAGTGAACTACCAGTGAACTGCCAAGAACTTGGCAATTTATTTAATTACTGTCCGAGCGACCAAGTGTTCACATAGTCAACCAAGACAATGAACCAAACTGAATCAAGCCTTTGTTTGTTTACTGTGACAGTGGAGGAAAGAGGCTAAAAGAAGTACTACTGGCTCTCCAGTGGTCCATGAAATGGACCACGTACTAAGTGAGGGTCAGGTAGATGAAGTGCACACAATCAATCATCTTACTGCAGAGGCCCAAACAAAAGGCTTCTGCCTCTGAACCAGGAAGAAGGAAGGCCTAGGAGTGGAAAGGTCCTGAGTCAAAATGGAGAGAAGTGCATCAGTCAAGGACATCCCTTCCCAATAAGGTCATGGTGGAGGCGCCTGGAAGTGCCTCAGCCAGTGTCCTTACAGCAGAGGTACCCGAGCCAGGAATGCAGCATAATATCAGCATGGCTAGCAGGAGGAATTCCTTCCAGAAAACTGCAATGCACTGACCATGCACAAGTGTCTGGTGTGGGAAGAGCAGCTCCCCAGCTCCCACCTCCCCTACCCAGGCTAGCCAGGCAAAGCCTTGCCATGGTCTATGGTTGGGTCTGAAAGATCACACAGAGGATTCTGACCTGGAGCCAGGTTCCTCAATTCATTTTTTATATTTCTCCTTCCCTTTACTAGTGTCTATGAAACAGTCTTTAAAAAAAAAAAGAAAAGAAAGCCACTCTAGACCCACACACAAACAACCATCTCTGATTATAATAGGAATTGACTACCTATAGTTTCTATGCAAAAAAGAGTCTAAGGCTGATCATATACCACTAGGACTAAGGCTGGATACTATTGTCACTGGCCTCCAAATCACGTGGGATAACACTTACTGGGAGCCCAATATTGTTAGGGCTATTGGTGGCAAGCAGTGATCTCATGTCCTATTTATAAGTGACGGCTCAGGGATCCCCAACGCTCCAAGTGCAACCCCCCACGTACTTCTACAGGGTGCATATTAATTTGAAAGCGGTCCAAATCCTACTTCAACTGATTCTCTGTGCTTTGAATTAAATTTCTTGGTCAATATTTTTTTTAAAAAACAACAAACAAACACCCCCAACTGTGTAATTTTTCCTATGTTAAACTGAAAATTAAAATAAAATAGCAAACCTCAGGGGTTCGATCTGAAAACCAACCTGACAACACTAAGGTCCGTTCCGTCAGAGGCTGTAATAACGAGTCTCAAAAAAAAAACTCCAAAGCTGCTTCAAGGTTGAAAGCCTGATGGTTTTCTAGCTTTAACTAACACCATTAAAACGCAATGAGGATATCTACAAAAGTCAATGAAAAAGAAACGAAAGACCTGAGAGAAACTTAGACAACTTTCACTTGGAAAAAATAATCTCTGGCGACATGTATCAGTCTTTCCCTCCCTCTCCTTTCTCTCCCTCTACTCTTGCCCGTGAACCCCCTCCCCCCTCCCAGGGGGCTGCACTGGACCGAGGATCCAGAGGTCTAGCCCTTGCCCTAATGGGCCACAACCAATAAGCACCTAAGGCTCTAGCCCAGTCCAGAGATTGCAAAACCCCACAGCAGTAAAGGAAGGGCAAGCAAGGGTGAACACCGCTTTGGCCGCAACCAGGGGCAGTATGCCTTGGGTGGCATGACCCGTCCCGGCAAAGGAGAAGCATTCTCTCTGGGCCTTCCTCCCAGCGATTCCCACTCCCGTGAGACGCAGTCAAGACGCGGGGAAGTGGGAAAGGCAAAGGAGCTAAGGTCGTGGCGCCCCCGTTCTGGGTCCCTGAGCACTTTGGAGGGATCGAAGCAGGCCCGATCCTTCCCGCGACTCGCTCCACCTCACACCCGGGTTCCTGAAGCCCTCCTCACGCACCTGCAGCTGGCACGGACCCGGCGGCCGCACATCTCAGGGCCCAGGCGCGGTGGAGGCAGCAAGCGCACGCTCAAAGCAGCAAGCGCAGGTCCGCAAGGCCGGCGCGGCGACGGGCTGAGCGCGCATGCGCGGCACTCGAGCGCGCTCGGGGACGTGGTCCGGCTGGAAACACGCTCCCCGGAACCCTAGGGCCGGTGGCACCTCGGCGCGGGCCGCGAGTTTCCTTGGCAAGAGGGTGCTCAGAGAGAGGTGCGTCCCCAACCCCAGCGCCACTCACCCCGCACTTCGGTTGCGGTGGGGAAGAGAACAAAGGAGTGAGGAAGGGTGCATTTCCCATCTCATCCCTAAGTGTTGACTAGGGAAACCTTGTATCTCTGCCCATTGGGCCCAGGGTCCGGCTGGAAACTGGAGAGCCCGCCTTGCAGACCCTCTCGGCTCGGCTCCCTAATGCAGGCCAGTGACAAGAAGGCCACGTGTCAGGGGCTTTCTGTGCTAGCACTGTCCTCGGCCCTCGGTAGGTCGTCAGATACGGCTAAGGGTTGGAGATAGGCTTTGTGATGAAACATAACTGGGTCCATGCCAGGCTCCACCTCTGGCCTGCCAGCTGCGGACCTTGTTGGCTTCCCTGAGCCTCTTTCATTCCTTATACCGATTTTAGTTGTCTACAATGTGCAAATCTCTGCCTAGCGTCGTGGTTTCTTCAGGTTGCTCAATTAGATGGTTGCAAAGTGCTCAACATAATGCCTAGTGCGTAGTAAGCCTCAAATCGTTGTTACCACTGATTAATTAGTTTTTATGTCCAATACAACAACTTGATGAAGTGATAGGATCCTATTTTAAAATGAGACCCAGACATTAAGGAACTTAATATCACACAACTGATAGACGATGGAGGTGTGATTTGAATACAGGAAGTCTAATACCAGACCTGCAACTTTCTAAATTCATGACTGTTTCCAAAATTATAGATATATTAACATTTTTGTCCGATGGCCTGGGGAACTGGCATCAGGCAAAGTGCTCGACCATTGTCTCCTTGCTCAGCCTTGTCTCCCACCCTGAACGGCCTGCCTTGAGCCTATAGATTAACTCCCATCTTATCTATTCATATTCCAGAGGCTCCATGCATAACCCCCGCAGGGCCAAACCCTAAGGGACAAATTCCAGCTGCAACAGGCAGATATAAAAGACACAAGCCCCTACATTGAGCGCGGCTTCTAGGACTCGACCCCCGGAGTCTGTGAACCCGCCCGGAGTGTACCCAATAAAGCCTGATCCCTGTTTATTCGGCTGATTGGCTCTCCAGTCTCTTCTCTGTTTTATTCGGCGGCGCCCCCGATTCCTTACAATTTTATGTAGACACATTTTATATAGACACAACTAAGGGTTAAATGTGTAGTACAGTTACAGACAAGGGTGGTACATGATTACTGAATATGATGCTTATCTATTGAAGATTTTAAGTATAAAAGGCATTGGAAAAGAATTTAGATTTTTGTAGGTTCTGATTATAACTGTCTCTGAAAGGTGAGGAAATGAGAACAACTAACAAGCACATTTTTCTTTTACTATAACTGTTTGCATTACTTTCAAAGGACCACTGACAACAAAAATTGTTATATCTAATGTTAAAAAGGGAGATGTTGGGATAGTGAAAAGTAAGTCTCTATTTTTGATGTGGTAACAGGAGGAAATGGCTAATAGAAAATGAGCTTTTCCCTCTCACTTGGCAGCCTTGGAGGAGTCAGGTTTAGGAAAGGCTGAAGCCCAACTTCCAACAGAAGCAAAGAGGGAGAGAGAATGGAGAAAGCTTCAGGTGTTTTGAGTGCTAACCCCAGGGTGGGATTCTGTTTATTCAAATAAACTTTGGAAACTTCCTCTATTCTTTTTTTTTTTTTTTTTTTTAATCTTTATTGTTGAATGTAGAATGTATTACAGATGTTCCACATTTTTCCCCCATTGTCCCCCTCCTCCCCCATCCCGCCCCCCTCCCGCCATTTCCCACACTATTGTCTGTGACCATTGGTTATGCATATAAATTCCTTAGTTTATTTCTTCCCACCTCCCCCCAACCCCTTTCCCTTTGAGGTTTGTCAGTCTAGCAATGAATTTGTACTTCTTAATCCCTTCACCTTTTTCACCCATTCCCCCACCCCCCCTCCCATCTGGCAACCAACAAAATGTTCTCTGTATCTATGAGAATGTTTCTGTTCTACCTGGGAAACTTCCTCTATTCTGCAGCTCCCCCTGGAAGCTCAGCTCAGCCAAACCATGTAAACAATTGCATTCACCGCCAGCTACATAAATTCTTAAGAGAGATATGCAGACCATGAGAGACTACTATGTGAGATTGGGGACTAATGGAGGGTACATTATCTGCAAAATAAATAGGCCTTTGCACCAAGAACCTGAATATGGCGTGTGGAACATTAAAAGGACGTGGACAAGCTATTTTCCAAGGCTATACCTTCCCCTCCCCACTTACCTTGACAGCTATCTCAGGAGGCTTCTGAAAGAAGGGGGCATATACACAATGGAGTACTCCACAGCTGTAAGAAAGATCTCTTATCCTTTGAGATGACTTGGAGGGACCTGGAAAGTATTATCCTAAGTGAAACATACCAAATAGAGAAAGACAAGTATCATATGATCTCACTTATTTGTGGAATATAACAAACATAACAGTCTGAAAAATGGGGTAGGCCCAGAGATGTGGAAGTGGGGTACAGACTGACAATCCCCAGAAGAGAGGGTGAGGGGGAGCAATAAACCACAGAAGTTATATGCATGCATGCATGAACAATGGACGTGGACAACAAAGCTGGGGACAGAGGGAGGGGGAGAGGGGAATTAGTGGGGGGGGGGAGGAAGGAGAAACATCTGTAACAAAAATAAATTAATAAAAAAAAAAAGAAGAAGAAGAAGGGGGAAAATTACCATGAGTAAGAGTCATCAGAACTTTTCATTAGGTTAGATTGAGAGGGCAAGGAGGATACACCGCAGCTCGTGCTGGGCACAGACGATCCCCTTATCTCTCAGTGCAAAGACCTCCACCCCAGCTCCTGTGAGAAGGCAGGCCAGGTGCAGCCCCTTAGGCAGTGCGGAGACCCCACCTTTGCCTTTTGTAATGTAATTCCCGTATATCCGCCAACTCCTAAACTACAGTGGAACTAGAAGGCCCCCAAATGCCCGGAGGCTTATCATGTATAATAGGCGGCTGGAACCTGGGCTCAGGCTCAGACTTTGGAGGTGACTCTGCTGGGACAGCACCGGTGCACATTAAACAGTCCTTTCTAATCCTCTGAGTGCGTTGCAGTCTGACTCTTCCTGCCAACTGAACTTCTGCCACAACCAGATTTGAATAAGGATTTAGTAAAGGGTATTGTAAAGGACTAACATATGACCTTGCCCCCTGGATTTTAAGGGATTGGCAAGAACTATTTGCTAATAGATAACCACTGCATTGTATAGATAACCATTGCTTTGTGTACACAGAAACTGATTGTTCCCTCGGGCATAACAGCTAACTGTAAATATCTGCTTCTGTACGCGCTTGCTTGCTCGCATACCCTTAACCCAAATTCCTTAACAGGGACTAAGACAACTATATAAGCAACCCTCCCCCTGAGCTCGGGGCTGCTCTCTCCTCTGAGTAGGATGGGACAATCGCTGCACGGCTAATAAATCTCTCTTAATTTGAACCCAGTTTGGAGTCTGAGTCTGGTCTGTCTCGTTGGTCTACAACAGTATAATGTGGACAAATAGAATATGTGGAGGCAGGATCAGAAATCCGAGGGAAAGACGGTAGTTGCGGCGAGGAAAAGTAAAGGAATGTCATGGCATACATTTGGGTTAGTATCTTATCTTGGCATCTTTTAAATGTGTGTCTTTAAAAGTTATTAACCTTTCTGAAGCTCATTTTGCCATCTTTAAAACGGGGAATATAATCAATCAGTCAACTATTTATTGACAAACCATGTGCCAAGCACAAGGGATTCACTTAGTGTATAAAGATGAAACAGTGAGGCCCTTGACTTCAATGCAGTTTTCATCTCAGAACAACATGCAGACAAAGAAGTACAGGATAATAAGGGAAGATATGTGTGGGGCAGGTGGCGGATGGGGACTATCTAAATCTGCCTGGGGAGTTTCAATTAGAAATAGTCTTTAAGCAGACGCTTTAATGATCCATCCACCCATCTAGCCGTCCTACATATATAAAATAAGCACTTTCTATGGGTCAATTCCTGTTCTACGTACTAGAGATAGAAGAGTAGACACATTAAAAAGGTAAACATCCCTGTCTTCATAGATTTTACATTTATAGTTGATATATATTTATATGGCTACTGAGGGAGACAGACAACAAATTAAAGTAAAATATATATGTTAAATATTGATAAGAACTGAGGAAAAAATAAGCACAAAGGGGGGCTATGGGAATTTTAGGTAGCAGGCTTGTTGGCTTTTTGGTAGATACCCAGCGGTGACCCTCCTGAAAAGTTCTATGATTTTTGAGTTGAGACTTAATGGTAATGAGAGAGCCAGCCCCGCTCACTCATGCTCCACATTTAGACCACCTGCTGCTCACCAGGTGCTTTGCCAGGAACTAGGAAAGGCCTTAAATGCCCAGCAAAGTGCCCCCCCCCATTTTTCTTTTAATCCAGCTGTTCTCAACCTGTGGGTCTCGACCCCTTTGGGGGTTGAACGACCCTTTCACAGGGGTCGCCTAAGACAAAACAGTAGCAAAATTACAGTTATGAAGTAGCAACGAAAATAATTTTATGGTTGGGGGTCACCACAACATGAGGAACTGTAATAAAGGGTCGTGGCATTAGGAAGGTTGAGAACCACTAAATAGAGAATATTTGACGAATTTTGATCACAGGCATGGCATGCATATGTCTTAGAAAACTCAGAAGTAATCTAGATAATGAAATGGAGGAGGCAAAATTAGAATAGACACATTGTCAGTTGGGGGCTGCCTACTCCTCAAATAATTTGGGTGAAAATCCACGTCTGTGGCCTATGACAGTCTTCACGGTACCTGTGATTTCCCAGTTTGCTCCTAGTGTGAATCTGTTCTCTGTA